AAAGGGAACAAATCAGATCTGACTTACAATCCTTTTCTCATTTGGAATAGCCATTTGGGTTAGCTACAGGAGAGGATTTTGCCCAGTATAAGCTAGGTTTGATGACACAGGCTTGGCTGGAGAAGAGATGGACTTCTGAACACAATACAGAAAGGGACAGGACTGTGACTCTTGTACCTCTGGACAAAGAAAGGGGTAGGAAAAGAACTGAGCACTATAAATACATGCGTTGCCTAAAATTTTTGTTGACCTGTTTCCCAAGGCTACTACTTTAGTTAAATTCCTCCAACCATTAGCTGTGGAGATTCGGAAAGCTGCATAAGACAGGTGGACATGCATACATCCCAAAATCCAACCTCTCTCTGCCCATACACTCCCACAATAGATTCAAGGCAGAGTTAGCCCTGTGATGCCATCAGCCCTGCTTACTGCAGAGCAAAAAGCCGGAGCCCAACCCCACACCCTTGGGTGACAAGGCTGTCATGCTGCACAGCCAGCTCAGCAACCCTGGCCCTGATGGAGCTAATGCTGGTCCTCGAATGTCATCGCTGCCCTTCATCACCTCCAGTCCAATGTTCTAGAGAGGCAGCTACACCAGGGAGCAACACGTGGGGAACAGCTGTGCAGTAGCCAGCCACTTATTTTGTCCCAAATGGTGGACACCCCTTTCTCCCTGGCTATGCTAGCACTCACTATCCTGGCACAAGACAAACACTGTGAGGTTTGCAGTAGAGCTGTGGGCAGTGATAACACTGCTTTTCTCTGTCCTCCTGGTGGCTTAAATGAGTTAAAATAGTTAGCAAAGCTGGTTGTTGCACTGTCCCCTGCACCCTTGTGAGGAAGAATGTCTTCTGGATACGTGAAGCTCTGACTTATGTTGAGGTTCACCCCTGGATTCGTAGCCCCCCATAGTCCCCCCTGTATGCTGCCCTTCACCAAGCAATGGCTGGGTGTGGTGAGGAGTTGAGTTTGTGCTCTTTCCCATGGAGCCCTTTACTTTTTTCCAGCACTTTGTTGTTCTGGTAATACAAGTTAACAGCCTCTTGAACCAGCCTCTCTTTATCAGCAGAAAAGCATCATAACTCAGAACATCAAGTGCTGCACTTGTGCCCTCAGGAGGGAATGCACAGGATGGGAAGATCAAGAAGATGAACCAGCCTATATCTCTTTGAAAGGCCAAACAAGCACTGAGATAGAGTGCATTTATCTAGGGGATTTGGATTCTCACATCCTTCTGCTAGAAGCTGGAATCAGGCACAGGTGTTTCTTTTTTTTTCCTTCCTGAAAAGATTCAGGATATCACGACATTTGTCATATATGTCTTACTGACTTGCAAGAAAATTATGTGCTTGGTGTTTCTCACAGACAATAAGGAATGAAATCTCACGCTGCCTTAATGCCACACTTCAGTTCTGTGGAGTTATTTCAATTTAATGAAAAAGGAGAAATAAGTAGGACCCCAGAGATATTAATGGAATACCTGTCACACAGCATGTCAGCAGCAGTGGCAGCATAAGGGTGCACAAATCCCAACCAGTCCTCTACTCCAACCCTGCTGTTAGCTGGTCCCTGAATATTCCTCTGCAAATCATATTATTGCTGAATTTGAGAGCCTCACTTCAGGCTTTCAGCTAAATGGTAAGTGAAAATAAATCTTAGTTGCTCTATGCTCCATTTGTAGTCAGTAGGTGAGAGGTGTAGGGGCAAATCATACCTCACATGGGCTGGAGCACACTCTGTAAGTACCGATCCTCTCCATTAACTGTAATCAAAGACCAACCAAAACTAATTTGAGTGTGAAGGGTAAATGTCTAAAATCGCACAGTCCCACACCAGTCATATAAATGCACCTGATCATTTACTCAGACTGGTGTGTTTGAAATGCACCATCAGATGTTCCTGGAAAATGGGAGAATACATTCAGAGCCATTTGCCAGATTTCTTTCATGGAAAGCTGCAGGTTTATGCATGCAGGGCTCATCTATATGTACCTCTGCCTTTCAGCAGAGGAGGCATTGCTTAAATAGCTGTTTGTGTGTCTGCAGATCTGCTTATCACTGTTCTGTTTCTTGCCTGCTTCCTTGAGGTGGGCGTGAACCTCTATGCGGGCTAAGGAAGAGAGAAACTCCACAACCTGGCTTGGTTGCAGTGTACCTGATGGACTGGTAGCTTCCAGACCATCCTCTCTCCACACTGGGAAAACATTCTCAGATTTGGAGGTGGAAATATGAGAATATCACTGATCAAATATCCCATGCAGCAAAGTCCTGATTTTCCATTAGCAACATACCCAAACACTTTCTTCAGCCAGAAAAGAGTCAAGGATAATTCTTGGTCCCATAGAAATCAACAAGACCTATATGTATGAAAATTTCACATATGTATGAAAATTTCACACCTTTCTGAAAGGAAGAAGTCATGGGAGATTTGCTGATTAACTGCTATGTGAAAATCACTCACCTTAAAAAATAACTCATATTAAAACAGGAATTCGCATTATAATGGAAGAACTGATAACAAAGAAATGAGATGAGAAAATTATGTTGTAATCTGGTAAAAATATATATGGAACAAAGCCACTGGAAAAGAACTTGACAGGTTTCTTAATGTTTTAAATTGGAAATGAAAGCTCTTCAGAGTTTCAAAGATTTCCAAGTTGATTTTAAAACTAATTTTGTTCATAAAAAGAGCCTTCTGTTTTCAAAATTGCACAATTACAAGCTTCAATTTTTTTCCAGCTTTAACAGCTTCAACTTCCAAATCATAAAAGTATAAAAGATATTTCAGTCAAAATAATTTTTTTTTTTTCTGGCTGTAGCTAAATAAATATTTTCCTGGAGTTTTGGTTGAAGAAAGATGGGGTTGACTTTGGATCTAGATGTTGAGTGGGAATATGCTTGGGTGCTTGAAAAATGTATTCATGTTAGAAAAATGATTAAGAATACTGTACTGGAACCAAGATTACTTGGTGCTAAACCTAGAGTCTATTAACAGTGTATGCATTTAAGCCCATAAAAATACCCTTGGTGTCAGAAAAAGTTTTAAAATAATTTAAGATATTAAAGTGCCTATGCATTTGGGTAGGTCATTACTGTCTTGGCAAAGACAGAAGCACACTGCACACCTTTGCCTTCCCTTATCAGTATGCCAGGAACCAGCTTCCATGAAATGCTATTCTCCTAAAACCAAATGATTTCAACAATTTGGAGACATTCAAGTATCTCTGAGGATAACTGAGAAAATAGTTTCCATGTTTTAAAAGCTGTGAGGAGGGGAAGGAGAAAGGACAATTCTTAATTTCTTGAGGTCTAAAACCAAAGAGGTAGTTTCATTCTGACTTGGGCTGCTTGTGACAATAATAAACAAATCAAATGCAGTGACAGAACGACACATGCCATGTGTACATTGTCTAGGTGTCTGCATACGTCATGGTATGTGACTGTCTTCACTGATCCAGCAATTTTTTAGCAGACCAATGGCATGATGCACATAAGCATCGTGTTGCACAGGCAAGACATGTGGCTTCAGCTGCACTGCATGCAGCACCCAGATGAGGGTTTGAAGTATCTCACTTTGCAGCTGCTCTCACATAACTTTTCCTTTGTGATTGAATCTTTATTACCAGAGCATGTCCAAGGTCGTGCATCCTGCTGAATCCCTTCCTGACAGGTAAAATGCAGCAACGGACCAGTCCCATCTGTCCCTTCCTGATTTCTGTGGTAAAGAAATCCAGGCACATGGGTTGCAGGAATTCCTAATGTGTTTCAAACTTGTCAGCTACTCAGGTATCAGGATCCTGGGAGGCCAGGCATCCTAAGGAACTCTGCAGCATGTGCTGGGAGGTAGATAAGCAAGTACCCAAGAAAGTGGAGTACTTGGCCACACTAGCCATATCCCACTGGGAGTGAGAAAAACACAAGGGATGTGGTTAGTAGTATCTAGAGATGGTCTGAAGTAAATGCTGAGAAGACCTCTAAAGAGGGGAAAAGTTCAAGCTCCAATATGACAGTTTCACACAGTTTCCAGTGCTGTTAGCATTTTACAATTACTGAGGATCTCCTGGGACTGAGTATGCTGAATCCTACACATATTTATCCTTCTATTCCTCTTGGAGTTAGTTCTCACACAAAGCACAGCATGATGTTTCCTTGCTATCAACTCATTCAGCCGAGAATATCAGTTTAATAATACATAGAAATGCAAGTTCAACCTAGATGCTTCAGAAGAAAGAATGTAACAGCAAAAAACCAGGATGGTCTACAGTTTACTTGTTACCTCTGTAGATCTATTTAGCCTTGCTATGGTGTAATATTGCTATGGTGTAATATTAATCACAAAGCTAAGACCAACCATATGTGATGGTAGAAACACAGAGATATCACACGAAGTGTGGCGAGTCCCCATGAAATTTGCTCATATCATTCCCAGATTGTCCACCCTCTCTCCACTTCTCCTGCACATGTTTAACATAGCTCTTTTATAATTTGTCATTAAACCTGTAGTTCTGTAACGCAGGAAATGGCACTATTGCAAGGACCTTGGCCATTGGCCATGGTCCAGTTATTATGTAAATTCATAGGAAAATAAGGAAGAAAAGGCCAAGTCTTGGCATGGGAATAGCAGGCAGCTGCCTAGCGTAGCAGGTGGTGAAATGACCATCAGCTTCCAGACATGTCCAGACTGCCTGTGAATTAAATGAATGTTGGTGTGTGGAATTTTTAGAAGATGGAGGGTAACATTGCCAAGACCAGCTGCTGCCACCTTCACCTCTTCCTTCTGCTGGAAGCAGGAGGAGCATCAAGCTGGTTTTTTTGGGGTTCTCCTCAAACTCCTGATCCTTCTTTCTGCCTTCCGGTGACAGAGTTGTCTTTGCCTGGGTACCACCCTGGTCTGAACTGTGATAAAAGTTCTATCAGGAATTCAGCTAGTTATTACTGTGACTGATGAGCATTTCATTAATTGCAGTGATATTTTTTATATATGAAAAGAGAAGTTATTACCTGTAAAGTTTACTTTTAGGAGATAATCTTTGTACAGCTTCCTGCCATCCAGATGCTTCATGGCATCACAGAGCTTGGTGGTGTTTGGACAGAGAGTCCTCTGCATTTTATGCAAGGCATGGGCCATTGCATACACAGCATTCACAACAAACATGATCTTGGATTCTTGCTCGTAGTTGGAACTGTTGATGGTGAAGTGCTTTTCACAAGCCTTTTTGTGTGGTTTTCGGTTCTGCAGATTGCACTGGAATTTTTGCTCCCAAAAGTCCTTGAACCAGGGGTTGCGCCTGTTATTGTAAGGGCTGAGACTTTGGAAGTACCTGTCAAACTCTTTAACTGGATGGGAAGCAAGCTCCAAGGTTATTGCCCCAGAAGCGATGCGCTCGTTGCCTTTCACGATACTCTCCTGGGCTCCCCATCCGTCGCTGGCGATCCAGGTGAAGGAAACGTTGAAGCGGTTGGCAGCTGCAATGAGCTCCCGAGAGTCATCCCCTCTCATGAAGAGCACCACCACCCTGGCGTTGGGTTTCTGAAGCAGCTCCCTGATCACGCCATCATAAGACTTCCTGATGTTGGACCGCCCCACCTTCTCGGAGGTGGCGATGCAGATGTTGCGCAGGCGAGCTTCCTGCTCGAAGGCTTCAATCCCTGTCTCCCCATAGTCGCCCTCTGAAGCAACTGTGGAGACGTAAGTCCAGTTGAAGTATCGCAAGATCTCAGCCATGGCTTTCGCCTGGTAGAAGTCCGGAGGCACAGTCCGTGCGAAATAGTCGTAGCGGGATTTGTCGCTCAGCTTGGCGCTGGTGGAGGCGTAGCTTATCTGGGGGATCTGGAAGAGTCTGAGCAAATTTGCCACCTGGAGAGAGAGTGAAAAAACACAGATTGTTAAAGAGGGGTGTTTATAAAATTGGACAGAAATATCCGGGGAAAGGCATTAACAGTGTTTTTTTAATAAGATGTGTTCTGACAGTCACAGATTGAGGGTGTTGATAGAGGATGTTGATAAACTCCAGTGAGAGCAGTGCACTGTGCATAAGCACAAAAGCTGTTCTGCTGCCCAGTTAATTCCCTGGGTTCTACTGGAACTAGAATGGACATTTACTTTTGTGAAAATGAGTCTGTTTAAATCAATAGAGAATTAGACACAAAATGGACAATACACTTCAGTCTCAGTCTGTGTTCCTCACTTAGGTCTAGGGATTTGCATGCCTTTGCTGTTCATAGTGGGATTCATCTTCTCCAAGATTCATTGTATTTGATAACCAAATACACTAATAAGACATAAATTTCTCATTAGTGCAAATATCACAGATGTACCAGTGGTTTGGAGAACTTTCTGATCCCACTTATTACAGCTCTCCTAGCTTTTACTGATTTAAACTTTTTTCTGAGATTTTCTGACTGCAGACCTCCTGAGATGGCATATTTGTTGAATGTTAGTACTCTTCAAGTACTGCACAATGCCATGATGACCTAATGTTTTTCATAAATGATAAAAACTTTTATTAATCTCTATTTGCCCATCTTGTGTGATTTATGTGGTCCAAAGTCCTTTTTTTTTTATACATTGCTATGTCCAGTGATTATATATTCCCAAATCTACTCTCTTGTTCTCACAAAAGTGTGTGTCCTGATCATATCTGGAAAGAAATCAAGAAAGGCTATGGCATTTTTTCCTATGATAGCTTCTTAAATGACAAAGGGGAGATTTTGGAGTTCTCCTCTTGGTCACTAAAAATTGTGTCCAGTAAATTAAATTTAAAGCTAAGAGTACAGCCTGACAAAACCATTCGAAAAGCAGTAGTGTACTTGAGAATCCTAGGGAAAATTATTAAAAATTGCCCAATCATTTTCTCCAGATGTTTCTCTGACCACAGACTATGTCTGTGAGAATTCAAAGGCAAAGGACTGTTTTGAAAAACATGTTGTGGAACAGGCAAATTTTGAGGGCTCAGACGTCAGTAGCAAATTAGACAGTCTGGTAAAAACAACTCCAAAAATCAGAAGAATTTTATTTCTTTTCAGCAACTGTAATACTTGGGATTTTATAGATTTAGATTCTGTCTTTTCTGTAATGCAGACACTGGACTAGTGTCCTGTTGTGGCTCAGTCTCACCCTGTAAGCTGGTGTAATCTCATCTGGGCCAGACTCTGCTGCCAACCACACGTGTACAGTGACTTTCACAATCCCTGGGCCACATGGAACTGAGGACTTCAGGAGATCCTTGCCCTCCTGTCCTTCTGGAACACCAGGGATGTGGTCCCCACCAGGTGGGATGTCCTGGCCTCTCAGCTGTGTATGTGGAGCTGAAGCTTGCCCTTTACAAAATAAACTGCTAAGAGTGGTTTATTTTAGTTTAAACCAAATTAAAACCTTCTCCACACTTCTGGAAAGGGAGCTTTAGCTAATGCTCTGTGGTTTTGCAAGTGGATAAAGCATGGGAAGTGCTGTGGCTGAACAAGTTACTGCCCCTCAGAAAGCTGACAGTGTGTCCTTAACCTCCCTGCTAGATGGTAACACACATTAAACTGCCTTATACTGGAAGTGTGGGATTTAATTTCCATCGTGGTGATGTAAATGAACAGCTTTAAAGCAACAGGATGGGCAGAGAGGCTTGTTTTGTCACCAAGGTACAATGGATGCTTTGAGAATTGTTGAGTCTGTGTGGCTTTTGATCTTGACTATATGTTGACACATCCACATGATTTGGTTCACATGTCCTCTCTCAACAAGAGCACTCTGATTTAGTGACAAGAATGTCCTCTGTGTAGCTATTATGGAACATTTCTCTCAGAACCGTGTGGGCTGGAACTGCTATTCTTGTCTCAGTTTATTCTAGCAGAAATTATTTTATTTTAGCTAAACCATAATGAGGATATGCACACATATCATTTTGCATTTTTCCCCTCAAAGTGGCTAAAAAAGTCCATTTTCCAGCTCAAGCAATGCTTTTCAGTGCATAGACAAGCCTTCAGCTCACAGAAAGATGCTCCCAACAGATAGAGCAGCTTCTTTATTGTTTTTTTTTTCTGTGGTTATTTTTGTTGTTGTTTTGTTTTTCTTTTAGTTTAATCTGCAAAAGCATCCATGCACAGGCAAACAGAACTACACTCCCAGTTTACACAGGGACTCCCAGCCTTTGAGGTCGCTATACTTCTAGGGTCCCTGCAAACTGCTGCAATTCTGATTCCTGGGCTCTGGGGAGAAGGAAGTTTTTGTGTGTTTAGAGCTGTTTGCTGTAATGCTCTTCACTGCAAAGCTGTCGAGATGGTAGTTTTTTTGTAGACTAAAAATTATAAAATATAAGAAAGTCTGATTAATTACAGAGGATAGTGACCCAATCATCCCTGAGAACTATGATTGCTCATGGAGTTCAGTGAAGTTGTATCTGTTATTAATTCAGATCAGGACACTCTTCTTGAAATTATCAAACTGGGGATTTTGTGGAATGTTGTAGTTTCTTGATTTTAGGGACTAGTTTTCTGAAAGAGCTCAAGCCTCAGGAACTTGGCTGATGTAACTGGTTTCAGAACAGTCCCTTTTTCCAGACATTTCCATCCTGATCTGAATATCTGATTCTGAAAATGATATCCTGATTAGGCAACCAACTAGATAAGAGCACAGGTAACATGTTCTGGAGAGGAGCTGACATCTAAGACTTTGTGTAGTAGATTCAGTGCAGTAGAGGACAATGTAAACCAGAGTTATGTGCACTGAGGTTGCATCACTTGAGGCACACCTCCACCGTAGCTCCATGCTGCCTTGGGACGTGTGCCACAGCATCAAAACTGCAGTGCACATCCGGTAATCGCTAAGTGAAATAATCTATTTTGGCAAAGCTCCAGGCAGCAATTTATTCAAGTCATGGTGCATGCAATTAGTGCCTGAAATCCATATGTTGGCACTTACTGTTTTTTTACTGTCAAAACTAGTGGGTTTTGCAGACACCTTTGAAAATAAGGCTGGATGTTCCGCATCTGCAAACCAGAACAGTCACTTTGCACAGCTTGCTGTGAACAAAGTGTGTTGACACAGTCAGCATTCGCCGTGATGGGAAACCTTTATTCGCCCTCACATTGCTGGGTTTATTAGTGTAGCCACTGTCCTGTGCTAAAGTGCCCAACTCCCAGGCAAACCTGGTTCTCACCCAGCTGCTGGGATGGAGGAGGAGGAGGAGTCCAGTGTGAGCCACGTCCCTCCATAGGGACATACTGCCCCAGCAAATCCTGCAAATGGAGTGGTCAGGCATTGCCAGCAGATACTGATGTCCCCCTCCCAGTACTGGAGCCACATCAGTCAATTCTACCTCTTTGAGCACCAGAGAAAGGATAAATGCCTGTGGGAAATTGCCAGTCTTGTTTATAACACTGAAAATGGCTTCATAATAAGCACCTGCAAGGAGCCATGAATTATGTACAGCTATCCAACACATGAACCTGCTTTCTGAGTGTATTTATGGCCATTCAAGAATCCTGCTGGTAAATGGGGACAGAAAGGTAACACCCCTATGTCTTAGTAGTCTTGGTCTGTCTTATGATTTATTGAATCTCACTGACATTTTGCCTAATGTTCATAGGACGTTTTTTTGATGGCAGTAGGATTTATTCTGATGTTTTTTATTACAATTTTCCTTTTTGATGGCCCGGAGACTGCTACATGGATTGTTTTAATGTGTATGGGACTGAAGAACACAGGAAAAAAAGTTAAATCTCAGAAGAACTAGAACAGATTTGGTTTCTTCAACACAACACACAAGTGTGTATCGCACATTTGTTGGACAGAGGAGGCCCCTTGTTAGATGACAGTGCTCTCTACCCTCCCGAAATTTAACCATGCGAGAATCTCAAGGGACTTAACACGGCTTAATGAACTTAATTTCATAGAGCTCCTCTGAGACAGGCAAGAGCTCCTGTGCCGGTTTTGAACAGACAATAAATTAGTCTGTGCAGCAGAACAGGATTGAGGTAAAGGAGGTTTGTCTCTATGGAGAAACTAGAGAAATCCCTCCCTCTCTGAGCTGCAATCTGTCCTTATGGAGATTCCGTGGCTGCCTTTGGTCTCCTGAGAAAGTATTTCTATTTTTGGGGATAAGTTTATTGTCTGGATTCCCACAGCAAGACCATGGCAAAGCCATTTCCCAGAGATTTCCTAGTGTCTAGATCATTACTATAACACAGGGGCTGAGCTCTTGCTTTGAAAATACATGTACCGCTGCCAGTGTATGTTGTATCTAGTTCCTAAGCGATGGTAATCTACATTGTAGGCTTTTTGTCATTATTTGGGCAGTGGGAGGTCAAACTGCAGTAAAAGCATTCATTCCAATAAATAATACAGAGTTTTTTTCTTATTTAAATTCTTCTTGTTTCTTAAATCCAAAAAGATATCAAAATATTGGCAGAAAGTGCCATTTTCAAAAGGCAGGAAGGAAACACTGGTTCTGAATGGGCTGGGATGTGGGTGTGTGATAGGTGGTGGGCATAAACCTAATGTAAAGGCATAATAAGGTATCTCTCCAGTCAACTGCCTCCACTGGCCTGTGCAGCCTCCCCAGGATCCCAACTCCTGATTTGTACACTTTTTGTCAAGTTAGAATCCTCCCTCTTCCAATTCATAACTTTCTTTTTCTGTCCTCTTGTCATGCATCACGTCAGCAAAAGCATTTGCTTTGTGTTCCTGAGGCTGAACCTGTACATACTGAAAAAGTCATACCATATTTCCACCAAACCTTCTTTCCTCTAGGCTGAACACAGTCAGCTCCCTCAATTTCGTCTTGTGGGGCATGTGCTCCAGATTCTCCTCCCCATGATCATATCCATATTTATTGAATCTTTTCTTTATTGAGGGGCCCAAAGTTG